TATATATATATATATATATATATATATATATAGTCACGTTTTCATTCCAAGATGGCCGTCGCGTGATATAGCGCTATTAGTTGAACTAAACTATTAATGGTTACCAACCATGTCGTACATGTTTTTTTCCAAATAATCTTTATTGTAATTTCAAAGAATAAAGACAAAGGACATGTTCACATACAAGAAAATAAATACCCAGAGACATTTGCAAACAATACATCAGTCTAACAATTTACCATATAGTGTACCCTATTTCAACATATGTTTATCCATTTTCCCACAGTTTTGTGCTATCACATATTCTAGTCTATGATAGTATTTAACATAACATGTAAAGCCCTTAATCGTGACCAACTTAAACTGTCTGTTTTTATATATATAGAGCTTTAATATCAATAACAATATATTAAGGACAATAGGATGATTAACTGATATGCCTAATATGATAATTCTGGGTGTGAGCTTAATTTCTGAATCAACATGTTGTTTTATCCAAAACTCCACATCCCCCAGAAACCCCACAAGAGAGGTACAATGGCAAAAAATATGTAAAGGTGTCTCCTCTTCCAAATTACAATAAGAACATAATGAGTCCTCTGATAAGTTCCATCTATATAACTTATTTTTGAGAGCAAGAAAGTTATGTAACAATTTATACTGAAATACTCTTATATAAGAATCAATAGTTGTTTTATAAATTAAACTGTAGTACAAATCCCATTGTATTTGTATGTTAAAAAGATCTATCCAATATTCCTGGGCTTAACAATGGAAATCAACAAAGTTCCTTGCTACCAAATGAAATCTATATAATTCCTCATTGATCTTCGCACCTTTTAACCACTTTGAATATCTTATACCAGCAATAAGAACAGTTACACAATGTTGATTACCATAAATCATCTGTTTCCATTCCTGAGGAATACTTGATAACAACTGTAAATACATAAGCTCATTACAGAATCTTCCATATTTCTCAGTAAAAGCTGTATATGATAAAAAATATCCATCCATGTCCAATAAGTCATTAATAAAGAGTATTTTCCTTTGGCTGAAGGTCTTCCAAAAAAAGGGTAAACCATTAATAAGTATATTTGAATTAAACCACAGCAATTGTCTCAGTACATCACATCTGTTATCAGGAGGCTTGTGCTGAGCCTTCAGCCAAGCCAACATTACCTCTTCAAAAAAAGTACTCAGAAAAGCATGTCTAGGGATAACATTATGAAAATGAGCTTCAGTAAGTTGGATGAATGGGAAAATACTATAGCTAAAGAGTAAGTTATAATTCAACAACTCTCTACAGAACCACTTGTCGTTTAAATATAATCTAGGTATCCATGCTGCCTTAAGCGATAAATCAAAAGCTTCTAAATTAATAAGTTTAAGTCCACCATATTCATACAAGTTATACACAATTTTCCTTTTCACCCATTCTGGACCACCTGACCAGAGAAATCTAAAGACTTTTTTTCATACATTTGGAAAAAAACCTTGTCAGGGGATGGCAGCGACATGAAAAGGTATGTAAATTGGGAAACAATCAAAGTATTTATCAATGTTACTTTTCCCAACAAAGTTAGAGTCTTTCCTTTCCAGGGTTGCAATATCTTATCTACTTTCTGTAACTTTCTATTATAATTATCTTCCATTAGTGTTTTCATATATTTGGGAATATGTATTCCCAATAGATCAACAGATCCATCTGACCATTTGACAGGAAAAGTACAAGGTAATTGAAAATCCGTATCTTTTAGTGGCCCCAATCTTAGAATTATGCATTTGTCAAAAATTTGGAATCAAACCAGAAATTGTGGAAAAGTTTTTTAAATCAATACACAAAGCCTCCAAAGTACTTTGAGAAGGCCTAAGAGTACAATTTGTATCGTCGGCTAAATTGCGATAATTTGCTTTTTACGCCTCTACACTCTAGACCTTCAATACTGACATTTGCCCTGATTCTAATTGACAACAGTTCTACTGCTAAAATGAACAAATAAGGTGACAAAGGACAACCCTGTCTTAACCCCCTGTAAAGCCTAAATGGTTCAAGACAAAAAACCTAAATTACTAATTCTGCTAGTTATATTGGTATTCATAATGGAAATCCAACGCACTAAGGATTCGCCAAAGCCAAAAATATTCAATACCTCTATCACAAACTCAATTCTAATTTTATCGAACGCCTTTTCAAAATCAGTAATAAATATTAGACCTTCAATATTTTCTTTTTCTACAATATTCAATGATTTCTAAAACTTTCCTTATATTGTCACTAATAGATCTCCCAGACAAAAAACCAGTCTGGTCCATATGTATAAGCTTGTGTATTATTTTTTTCATCCTTAGTGCGATGCATTTTGACAAAATTCTTGTATCACATGGTAATAAGGTCAGTGGTCGCCAATTACTTAAAAATACTGGATTTTTGTCTTTTCCAGATGAGTCTTGTTTCGAAAGTAATGAAATTACACCCTCCTTTTGTGTATCTGAAAGTTGTCCTAAGTCATACACAGTATTATAACAATCCAACATAGGCTGTTTCAATAAATTAAAAAATTCCTTGTAAACTTCAATCGTAATCCCATCAGCACCTGGGGATTTACCATACTTAAATGTTGAAATTGCTTCCCAAAGTTCTCTACCATTAACTAGCCCTTCACATACTTCAGACTGTTGTTTTGTTAAAGTAGGGATATTCCCTTCTACAAAAAAATCCTTATAAGCTAGCTCTTCTTTTATAGGTTTTAAGACTTCTTCAAAGGAATACATGGAAGAATAAAATTTCACCTCTTCACATAAAATGTCAGAAGGATCCAATATATCTTTTCCATCCTGCAGAACAATCTTAGAAACATTTTTTTTAGTTTTGTTTCGATTTAGCAGGTTAAAGAAATGTTTAGTCGGTTTTTCACCTAACTGCATCCATTTAGCACGAGAGTGCAACATATTTTTTTGTCTTTTTTCCTCGTAAACAGTTTCAAGTTCCATCTCTTTTTGTTTTAATTCTTCTAACATATAGAGGGGAGGAGAACTCAAACTATCAATTTTGATTTGCAAGTTACATAATTCACCCTGTAATCTCCTTTCCTTCTTTGACCATTGTTTTCTTCTGATGGATGCATATTTATGAGTGACCCCGAAGCACATTAATGAGTCCCATATAATTCTGGGTTCTGCTGATCCTTTGTTGAAAAGAAAAAACTCTTCAATACATTTTCTTGTATCCTTAAGGATAAGTATTATCCTTCAATAAACTTGAATCAAATTTCCAGTATCCAGGTCCATATTGTAAAACTCCAGGTAGAATTGTTAAGGATATTAATCTATGATCTGATTTGAAAGTTTCTTCTATGTCAGTTTTTGTGACTTTTGAAAACAACGCAAAAGAAATTAGAAAATAGTCCAGGCGACTAGCCTGTTCTTGTCTCCTCCATGTATATCTAATGGTATCATGGTTATTTACACGCCATACATCAACTAAATCAAAGGTGGCAGACAATTCACAGATTGCTTGTAAAGCACGAGGGTAATTGTTTAATACATGCTGTCCTGATCTATCTTTTTTAACATCCAGCACCGTATTAAAATCACCAGTAAGCATAACATTTTCGTTACACTCTTGCATTTCTGTAATGTTACTTTGTATTTCTTCAAAGAAACCTTCATCATCTTCATTTGGTGCATAAATGTTAACTAAACAACAACGAAAGCTATCACAATTCAAATCCATTAGAATATATCTGCCACCTTCATCTTTTCTAATATCATTTATCTGATATGACAAATTACTTTTAAACATAATAAGCACACCACAGCTATTTCTTTTGCCGTGGCAAAATACAATCTGACTACCCCACTCTGTCGACCATTGTTTTTCATCATCAATTATTGAGTGGGTTTCTTGTAAGCAAATAATTGAGTGTGGTTTGTCTTTCAAAAAAGTGAAAATATCTCTTCTTTTTGAGTTACTTGCCAAACCTCTACAATTGAAGCTGGCAAAAGAAAATCCTTTTCTGTTCACCATATTACCATATCAAACCAAGTGCAATGCATTTAAATATCCCATGCATATGCAAACCACCAGACATATTTGTTAAGTTACAAGAACAGCTGCGCATCCAAAATACCTTATACATATGCAAATCATCAGACATATTTGTAGGTTTGCAAAAAATAATCAGAACAGCAGAAATAAACAAAGGACGTTCCACACATAAGAAAACAAAAAGATAACTTGACGAAGCTTCACGGTCATTCATGTGTCGCCAAAACAAAGTTTCGCAGCGAGCCCCGTACATATTACTCAATATCATAGAGCCATAACAAATTCGTATTGTGACATATATCATCTTAGTAAAACACACATATCATAATAAGTCTCTAGTCAAAGTTTAAAGCTTGACCCCGTCCATCACGCCAGCGACCATTGTAGAATCTGTACCTTACTCCTTTCTCGTGGGCCTGAGAAACCTTCTCTCTCCACCTCCGTTTTTCATTCAAGTCTGTCACTGTAAGGTCGTCCGTGAAGTAGAAAGGCTCATCTTGTAGCTTTGTACGCGCGAGTTTCATAATGTTCACTTTATCCCGGTAGCTACACAACTTGAATAAGTTGAAAAGAATGTGCTGGCGTGTTCCGTCGCCATCTTTCTTTTTCGGGCCATCGGGGTGTGCACGTTCGATCTTGACATTTTCAAGGCCGAATTTTTCCTTCAAAATGTTCTCCACTGTAGAGAAACAGTTCTCTCCTTTGGAAACTGTCCGACCAATGACCCGAATGTTGTTGTACATGTTAGGTAACTGGGCGACAGATCAAATCTTGTCTATCTATGATTAGCTTTGAGTGAGCGTGCAGCTAATTAAGACCAAAGTAATATCTTAACGAAGAAAGCCGTCTGCCAAAAGACTAATTTTTTTGCACAACAGCAATGTGGTACAGATATTAACAAACTATTGTTACCTTGGTGTTGTTGTTAATCCATCCGTCGAGTTCAAGGCAAACAACAAACACTTGTACAACAAAGGTCAGAAAGCACTGTTTGGAGTCAGTCAAACAAAGCCAACGTGACAAACTTTTGATAAGATATTAAAAAATCTATATTTTCTAGGGCATAAATAGGGAAAGTTTAAAAAAAATGGCTCTCTAAAAAAAATGGCTCTATGATTACCGGTCACGGGTAATTGTATGTTGTTCGACCGGTCCCTTATTGACCTTTCGACGTCACAAAGAGCAGGGTTTTGCTAGACGCTGATTGGTTGGGTGATTAGGGATATCCTTGTGCTGTCAAGTGCTGTCATGATCTGCTCTCTTAACAGGGCACGAACGTGCACAGAATCGCGTTTGTCTAATGAGGTCCGGACTGCTTGTGGGTAGTTCACGCCCAGACGACGGTTCAATAGTCGTACGAATGTTTATCATCAAGATGTTGCCGGCGACGGTATTTTACCACCGTCTAAAGACGATCAAAATAGTCGCACGACGGTAATCCTCGAATCGTCGTCACTACCACCTCGGACCCTATCGTGCGATCCTTCAGCGGGGGGTCCGAGGAGGATTTTCCACCGTCTAAAGTGAACCGTCGCCGGCGAAGGAAGTGGGGGGGGGGGGTCATTGGCCTTATGCAAATCAAGCGTTATTTCCTGTCCAAGAACATCGCCTGTATCATTAAATGTCGTCAAACCAAAGACTTTATATCGTCATACGTGTCTAGTACAACCCCCTGCCACCAATCGCTACTTCTCCGGTACTAGACGAACCGATCCGCCCAATATAGCCAGGCCGACGGACGGCAGCACCGAACGCCGGGTTCTATTGCCCCGCTCGGTACATGTGGCTCATACCCCTTCTTTGTTGGGCACAAACTCGGCGTCTTATCCGAGTCCGCAGGACAACGAGTTACAAGCAGAACAAGAGTTCCGAGATCTCATATCTCCATGAAATATGGGCTTGATATGTAAATGTAAATTTCTTCTTTAATTATGCAAATGACCTCTTCATTAACATGATATATGCATCGTGATGTATGTTAACTTTTGATTAACTTACAGATGTCCCAAGTATGACATTCCCATCATTCACCATTAAGAAATCATAGAATTTTCACATTTATTATGCAAATTAGGTAATCATTTGCATAATCGGTATCTGTTGATGTTCCACCTGCCATAGGTTACATACATGTACATGACATGTATGAAAGTAGTATAATGTAAAACACTTTAATTATAGACTTTCCTCATTAATTATGCAATTTAAGTCCTCATTTGCATAATTTGCATTTGATTATGTAAATCTCTCTCAGCTACCTACACACCAAAAATTATGAAAATATGTTGTTCCTATCTGGACTTATTGGCTTTTAAACATTTCGCCAAAAAGTGCCCTGCAGTTCCAGAACAAGCTGCTAGGGGGACACTTATTCCTGACAGGAAAAGCTATCTGTCACCAAAACTTCAAGACCATTGCATGTTCAGGACAAAAGATACAAAAACCGGAAGTTCTGCTGCAGTACCAAGGTCATCCACCAGGAGGCCCATATTTGACCTTGACCTTTGTCTTCCTAAGACTTACCAACATACCAAATATCATCATAATCCATAAAGGCGTTATAAAGTTATGCTGACTACAAATGTGCGGAAACACAAACACACACACAGACAGACACACACACACTCAGGCAGACACACAGACAGACGCGCCAAAAACAATACCTCCATTTTTCATGGAGGTAACAACGGCTACTCACAATCCGGAGGTCCTGACCTCCTTCACGGAGTAACAACAAACACTTGTACAACAAGAATTCCGAGATCTCATACCTCCATGAAATTAGGGCTTGATATGTAAATGTAAATTTCCTCTTTAATTATGCAAATGACCTCCGCATTAACATGATATATGCATCGTGATGTATGTTAACTTTTGATTAACTTACAGATGTCCCAAGTATGACATTCTCATTATTCACCATTAAGAAATCATAGAATTTTTGCATAAATTATGAAAATTAGGTCATAATTTGCATAATTAGTATCTGTTGATGTTCTGCCTGCCATAGGTTACATACATTACTTGTATGAAAGTAGTATAATGTAAAACACTGTAATCATAGAATTTCCTCATTAATTATGCAAATAAAGTCCTCATTTGCATAATTTGCATTTAATCATGTACATCTTTCTCTCAGCTACCTACACACCAAAAATTATGAAATTATTTTGTTCCTATCTGAACTTATTGGCTTTTAAACATTTCGCCAGAAAGTGCCCTGCAGTTCCAGAACAAGCTGCTAGGGGGACCAAACTCACACCACTTACTGTATTCCTGACAGGAAAAGCTATCTGTCACCAAAACATCAAGACCATAGCATGTTCAGGACAAAAGATACAAAAACCGGAAGTTCTGCTGCAGTACCAAGGTCATCCACCAGGAGGTCCATATTTGACCATGACGTTTGCCTTCCTAAGACTTACCAACATACCAAATATCATCATAATCCATAAAGGCGTTATGAAATTATGCTGACCACAAAGTTGCGGAAACACACAGAGGCAGACACACAGACAGACATACATACATACAGACAGACACGCCAAAAACAATACCTCCATTTTTCATGGAGGTAACAAAGGTCTGAAAGCACTGTTTGGAGTCAGTCAAACAAAGCCAACGCGACAATATCTGTAAGAAACAAACTTTTCATAAGATATTAAAAAATCTATGTTTTCTAGGGCAGAAATAGGGAAAGTTTAAAAAAAATGTCTCTATGCCGCGCTGGTCACGGGTAATTGTATGTTGTTCGACCGGTCCCTTAATGGGTGTGTCATTAACAGCACGAACGTGCACAGACTCGCGTTTTTGTCTGAGGTCCGGACTGCTTGTGGGTAGGTCACGTCCAGACTTACCTCTGAGGGTAGAGCAAGTCAGTGACTGAGGACTCGAAACGTGAGTAACGTTTGTGCCTATATGACTGCATTTAGTAACGTAAACAAAATAAATCGTAGTTGCTGACATTTGCTGACAGAGTACTTCTTTCTATTTGGCAATGTTTCAAGCTAGTATACTAGTAGTTTCCGATTGCTCGGTAATATCGTAATATGTAACACAGATCTAAGGACGTAGGGGGTTATCATATCGCATACCATGTTGCAATATTGCTCAAAATATACCCACTTACATGTATATTTGCGTTACATGTCAGATATTTTGACATGCTTGTATCTATGTTCACTGAAGCGATACTGTCCTAAACAGGTTCGGCAAGGTTCCAGAGGCTTTATTAACAGCAAGCCTCCAAAACAGAACTAGTAGCGCTCGACTAAAAGCATGGTCCATATCCCTTTCCGATCATGTAAAACAAACCTTAACGTGAATTCTTTCCAACTAACATCCATATAGGAAGGTAGCCATCCGTATCCATACATATGGATCCAAATACTTAGCATTTCTAATTGTGACCAAGGGAATTCCGATTTCTGCCGTATTATAGCTTTATGGTGCCTATCGTTGTTGTCATTGGTCACAGAACACCGTTATCACATGACCATCCTTTACAAAAAGCTGCACATATGGTAGATACTATGTTGTGCAAGTGTCAAAATTGCCAACATTGTAATTTACAATCCTATCGCTAGTATACATCGGTCCGTTCCGCATCAGTTGTACTGAATACTACTACGTCACCCCACATACCAAAGGCGCCAGGCGATCTATATCTGTTGTTATGTGTTGCAGGTAGAACAGAAGATGGCGTTAAAGGCGACCAGACGAGTTTTGGCGGTCGTTGTTCTGATTATCTTGGTGCAGGAGACAAGTATGGACATTTTGTTCTAGCTCTGTTCAATAACGTAGAACGCGTCCTTGTCTTGTCTTTAAGTACGCGCTCACAGCTAATTCATGACTTAAGCATTTAGGCTGCGCTTAAATTTAGTTAAGAATCTGATCCAAAACCATAACATGAATTTTTATTTGTTTTGTTAGCTTGTCTGTTTGAGCCTTTATCTTTTTCAATATTTGTTTAAAAACTAATCACCATTTCTATTTATCTCGGAAAAGCGTAAAAAATGCCAGTCTACTAGTATATATACCTTATTGTGGAATTTATATAGACTATGATTTTAATTATACGTTGTGTCATTCTTACGCTTACGTCAACAATTTTCTTAATCTTCTTCAACGATCATTATTACGTCACAGCTACGTCTAAGGATGAGGTTGCCAACGAAACCAACGCTGAGAAAATAGACCGACTGCTTCGAGAGATAGAAGGTAAACTGACGTTATGGTACCGGATAACGACAAGGTGTTTTGTGACGTGCATAAGTCTTTAGTAGATTGGACAAGTGTTTATATCTTGAAGATTACTGATGTCGCATTAGCTAATCTCTTCAAACTCACAGTTTTGTTTAATGACTAATGTGACGACCATATATTATGCTTAGGTCACATTTGAAACGGCGCCCGTTCGGCATGCCCTCGGCGTATACGCCGGCCGGCGTCATGACGCCGAGCGTGCGCCGACTGTCAGGGTCACAATTAAATGTTCCTTTACGGCACCCTGTCGGGGCCTGGTTGTGCTCCGGCCGGCGTCTCTCATTAATATTCATAAACTTTTGCGGCCGGTTTCTGTCAGGGACCCGTCCGGTGCCCGGTCAGTCGCCCGTCTTGACCCGTGCGGCGTGTGGTAGGGTGCCGACCGGCTCTTACAGTTCGGCCGGGCAGCTGTCAGGTCCCTTTGAGCAGGTACATATATAAGCGCTGCACTGCCTGCTACCGTTCACTTCAAGTAAAGAGTACACGTCAAGTAAAGAGTACACTGAAGTTGGCGATGCAGCGTTCAGTGCAACCTGCAAACAACTTACAAGCCCGTCTGAGATTGAGATTGGTGACAACCTACATGTAGGTCTTCTGGCATTGGTAGCTGAAGAAGAGAGGCAGGCAGAACTGGCAGGCAAAAGTAACCGAGGGCCTACTTTCGAAAGTACTTCAACAGTGACGCAGGAAGTACTTCAGCAGGACGCAGGAAGTGTGCCGTGGCAGCTCCTTGCTATTGAGCAATAAAACCACTGAATATCGTTACTTCTGTTGAAATTTGGACTGAAAATAAATGCCAATAACTTCTGATTCCATTTTATTACGAAGGCATATGATGTAACAAGAGATAATGTCAGACACATTCTATTCCTGTTATGATCTGTTTTATGAAGTTGGCAAGAGAGCCGTGCCGGCTGTTTTTCCTTGCCCTTCGACATTCTGACACACAAATACAAGGTGTAACACACACAAGTACACGATGTAACACACACGTGGTGAACTGTGCGACGTAGTCTGAGGCAGGAGTTTATATATGCTCCCTATAACCCCCTTTTCCTGACCATCTGATGCACTGATCAGCACATGTGACGTCATAATCTTAGGCAGGTTCCTGTTCGGCCGCCCGACGGGTCCCGGGCAGTGAGGTTACGGCGTCGCTTCGGCGTATTTCGCCGAACGGGGCCCGAAGTGTTTTTAACTCTGAGTTAAAATCGATTCGGCGACCGCGCGGGGCCCAAAATAGGCCGGCAGCCGTCCCGTCCAGGTCCCGTTCGGTAGTGCCAAAAAAGACGCCGAACACGCGCCGAGTTGTGACCTAAGCATTACCTGGTGGAATTCATGTTACTTGTGTTTCACCCATTTCTACATATGCTTTTTAGGCGTCTTTCCTCGAAGTGTGTGGAAATATTCAATCAATACACGCACACTACGAATGAATGTAGCATAGTACAGAAGGATTAGATGTTGCTCATGAACAATGTTTGTGCTTAAATGTAGAATATGAAGAGTTTGGGGTTCAAGGAGAAAGTGCTCAGGACGCGCGAGGAAGGAGCGGAAGGGGCGGAAGGAAAAGTAAGTAGAATTTTTAACATGGACCACTAAGCAGTTACTACCCTTGCCGAAAAGTTATGTTTTGGGTAGCGTTTGTAACGGTGTAATGGTATTTGTGGATAAACACTAGCTGCCCAAAATGGTACAACAAGCTCTTTTCTACAGTTGTACCAGATGATTGAGATGTACATACATCTACAAAGACACAGGGACAGGTAATACTGTTGAATACAGGAAAAAAGACCTGTAGCTTGTGATTTGTCGCCTCAATTCTAAAGCACTGTATTCTAATCTCCAATCAAATCATAGAGGAGTGACCATTAGGCTAATTAATAGACATTCCTCTCGCCAATGGGTGCCTTACCACTGCATGATCTCCTTAGAGATTAATGTATTAAACATTGACGACGTAGAAACGAAGACACAACAAGGCAGTCTGGAGCGCCGCCAGCTGTCCTTCCCGGCACCCCCCACCACCAAGAACTTCGTCGAGCTGCCGGGGATGTCCGAAGATCTCCGAAGCTTCACCATCTGTCTGCACATGCGCACTGAGTCTGACGGTGGAAGCGCCCTTTTCACCTACTATGACAAGAACGGCGCCGAACAAATATCACTTTACAGCGATGAGAGAAGGACCAAGTACAAGGTGAGCAATGTACTGTATAGTAACTGATACGTTTGTGTGTGTCATTTTATTATACTACAGGTCCATGACCTACCCAGGCACAGAACATATTCCTGAAGCATCATTCCTTAATTATAATTAACATCCCTCTTCAACTTCTCATCTCATGATGTTCACAGACAAACAGATATACAGACCTGAATCTGACAACAAATGTTTCTTTGAAAAGAAAGCCCTTTTCTTTAACATTCCCTTGTCTCCACCGAAACGTTTTGTATGTAGAAATTGTACATTTCCATAAAGAAGGATTTCACATATAGATAATCTAAGCTTGACTTATTTCAGCTGAGAATCAATGCCAAGCACCACGGTCAAGAGAAGGTGGACCTGAAGAATCTAGACGGAAAGTGGCACGTCATTTGCGCGCTGTGGGAGGGGAAACACGGAAGCTACGAGATTTGGAGTGATGGGAAAATGAGGGTGTCTGGAGAAGGGCTGGACGAAGACTTCCAAATCAGCGGAGGCGGGACGTTCGTTCTCGGTCAGGGCGGAGACAAGAAGGGTAAATTTGACGATGACGCCGCCTTCAGCGGTGACATCAGTCACTTTAACGTGTGGGACGAGTGGCTGGAGAAGGCTGACCTTAAGAGCAGGGAGAAGTCATGCAAGCTGGAAGGGAACGTCATCAACTGGAACGCCGGGGACATCAAACTCACCGTGAACGGGAAGATTCTTATCGACAAGTTCACCTGTAGTGAGTAGTTGTTATTGTTATCATGTGCTGTGAAACGAATACGTGTTTTTGGCAGGAGAAATTATCACAAATACATGGCACCGCTTGGAAATTAGTTTTCTTGTATTCCATTGGCATTGCAGTGCGACATGTACGGCCGGCTGTGTCAATCGCCTTCTTTCTCCGCCTATTGTGAAATCAAGTCTCCACCAAACTCACAGTGGTCATTGTTCTGTTTGAAGAATGTCCAGCCATGCTAACCCGTGTGTGTGTGTGTGTGCATGTATGTGGGATGTTTGTTGTAGAGGTTGCGCTGTTCTTGTAGCTATTGACATCTATTTCAGAAAGTGGTTTGACAATTTTCTTTTAAAACTAAATTCAATTCTTTTTTCTTCTTCAGTGTGGAAGCGGGAGCTCCCAGGCGACGGTGAGATTTTTTCATTAATGTAGTTGATTTGAAATAGAATAGAAGATAATCAACTTCCATATGTTTGTGCATAACTAAAGCTGCTGACTAGAGGTCAAAGATCAACAGAAAAAGCGCGTCTTTCTGGATGTCCTCATGTGCAGGACATACTTTCGGTGTATTTCTAGATGTTGCAACAGGTCCACTCATTTTTATACACTCCATTAGCAAAAAGGCTTTCATATTCATTACTCCCCTCCAGGTGGAACATCCCTGTAGAGATTGTAAATCATGATTTATTTGTTTGTTGTAGAAATGGACCCGCTGACTGAACAGGCTGAGAAGGACAAGAAGAAATGAGCGGGACAGGAAAGGAACGGCGTTGAAGATCTATTCTAGTGATGAGCATAGACTTGGGTGGTATAAGCTGATAGCAAGAAAGCTACAATAGTAATTACAGTTAGCGTATATATTTGATACCACTAAATATCTATCCCTGTGGTTTTTAAGTACCATGAAATAGAATATTTCGTACTGCGTTGCCTAGTGTTATCAGGTTTACAGGTTTTAACAATTTAGATAAAGACTTTTTACATCATAGATTAATTAATATCATCATATATCCAGATTGCAATCAACCGGACAAATTACAAGAGCGCGCTTCTGTTACTAATGCATGTATGTATGGCCGGGTATACCAGCCAGTATTTCCTAGCCGGTTTAGTAATGGACATTCGATGGGGGGGCCGGGAGGGGATGTTTTGAAAATGATTTGTAATGACATAATTCGATGACAAGAAAATACCTACGATAAGCTGATATTATAGTTCTTATGTCACCATATAAATCCGTCAAATGACATTAACCATTACATTTAAGACTATTGAATGTTAGCTTTTCGGTGAATTAGGAAAATACTATGTGGTGATAGAATAAGAACTGCTGGCCTGCTCGAATTGATAGCATCAAAATGCGGTACTGTTAGAATTTATTGGACGCGACTGAACATATTTTGTTGTTGATCACCAAATGTAATGGCATATGTTTGTAACAGATCTAGAAGACGAAAACATAGGTTTGCTCGTTTCATGGTCCGTGCAGCTGCAAGACATGAATAAAGGCTTTTCAACAAAGTTTCTTATGTACATAACCTTATCTTTTCTCTACGTCTGGGTGTAAGTGGGTATATAAAAGCAAAGTGTCGTTCCCAAGAAAATAACGTTTACACGAATATCTAATAGATCGTACTGTAGAAGACAAGGTGCTTTGTATTACATTAGGGTAGGCTGGACCGTTACAGTACGTGCTCACATGCAGTTCGATCTTAAAAACTCAAATGAGAGCCTTTAATGGAAAGTCTCCTTCCAATATGACGTCACACAGAAGGCAGACTAGTGCACTATTCCTTTTCCGCTGAGGTGTCGACTTTAAAACATCCAAAAAAGTTCGCATTGGGGGCTCAAAGTAAATCATGGATACAGACGTGTTCCCTCGACTATTGATTTCAAAAACAGGCAAGGTCGTTCAACAAGATAGATCTGATAGAACGTCCTTGAAACAAGCGACCTTCTGGTGATCAACAAGTTCGACCGAAGCTCGTCGACTGTGTAGCGACTATACTAAGACCTGTACGATGTACGAGTAACGTGACCTATGGTTAGAGTTCACGTGTTACCTGTCAACAAGACAAATGTCGTCCTACCGGAACTGCAACTGCGCGTCGCGTTTGCGCAGACACGGAAGTAAGGGAACGTTAAGGGAGCTGGAGAACTAGTGATCAGTTGTGAATCATGGCCCGTTTGGAGGTGACCACAGCTCTCCTGGCCTGTCTGGTCTTTACACAGGTCACTCTGATAAGGACAGAACGCTTGGGCCTAGGCCTGAACAATTTGGGCGCGCTAAACTCTGTGGAAGCGAGAATGATCAACACTATCCCTACCCATGCATTTCCGTCTTTTGTGGGGTCTTCGAGGAAAATCAGCGTCATCTACTTCTACAAGAGAGGTATGTAATCAGGTCTTATTATGGCGATCTGGATATCTTCATTTACTGTCCTGTAAGGTGATAGGTTGGTGTTTGCAAAATTAAGTATCAAACAATTTATCCCATCCTAACATTTCATTTGCAACTAGCTAAGTATAATCCGTGACATGATGTTTGAACATTGCAGGTGCCTAGTCACGCACTTACAATGTAGAACTTTAACTTTTTGTTTCAGAAGAACTGCATGCCTTTTATATAGTTGAAGAACTTAACTAATAACTGTAATTAACTAATGACTACCATGAACACTAACTACAACAGGCCACGTCGACATTGTTTGTCCCGGATCTTCTTCTCACTAATGAATAATAAATAATAAATAGTAGATTTAAACAAAAGCTCTGAAATAGCTATCGCTATTTTGATAATTTGCATAGTTAAACGTGCCCAGTTTTCCACACGCACTTATAATCAACACCTCTCATAGTCAAGTGACATAGAGTTACTGTAGTGTTTTCTATACTGAAGTTACTGTAGTGTTTTCTATGGTGAAGTTAAGTGTAGTGTTTTCTATAGTGGTTTCTGTCACTGGATCAAAACAACACTGTTTGTTTCTTCCTGGTACGGAAGTATTGTTTTGGGTTACAGAGCTGTGGGGTTTTGTGTCTATTTGGTCGGAAACTGTAGGTTGACAGCACGTGGGTGGGGAACATTGACAGGCAGAAGGACAGGAGGCCAAAGGACAGACACAGGAAATGGAGTGGGCTTGAAGGTCACGAAAAGCCAAAATACTTCTCAGGAGTCTAAAATGTCCGATTCGTCGTTTTCTACTATTCTTACTCATTTCCCGGGGAGTTTGGACACTCTTCATAACTTACAACAACGTTACAGCGTACTGATGGATATCTGGAGGATATGGTCCATATGTAGTTGTATTTCAGGCTGATCATGAATGAATTTGTGTTTCTGCCAAGGGATTAGGTGTAACACATTTTCTTCCAGGCGTGCGCCATCTTGGGACCGCCCTTAGACATTTTGACGAGGCCAAAAGGGAAAAGAAGTTAAAGAAGACCGCTCAGTTTGCAAAGGTGAGGTTCTGTCTGTGACGCCAATACCGCTACTAGGCGCTATATATATAGCTGAATCATGGACGCCTTTCCGTTCAATAGAGACCGATAACAACCTTTGAACATGTTATTTATAGTATGCAAAAATGACCCTAATTCTTTTTAGAAGGTTGGCGGGCACTGTTACTTTGAAATGTTATGTAATATTTTTTAAATATCATTTATATCATGCGACCTTATGTTTATCTTTTAACTTTCATTTTGCCATACTGCAACGAACGTTAGATGGTTTATGCATGTGTGTGATTGTTTCACCGTGAATTGTTGATAGTAATAATGACGATTTGTACCTTCAGGTGAATTGTACCAAAGATCCTGCTATTCCTCACTGTAGCGTCGAGAAGTCGCATCACTTTGTTTACATTGTCAGGTAGGGGAACATGTTACCTTTTCTCACCGTAGGTATGTACCGCCAGTTGTTAAGGTTTCTTGCAGTGCACTGAAAATTGCAATATCTGGATTGCATATGCCCTGATATGCCCAAAGAACCAATATTTGGTTAGACCTTAGAACCAGTAATTTATACGATAATATATTAAACTCAAAATGTTGATTTTTTGCCATCTACCTGAAAGTTTTGTATCCACTTTTTTGTGAAGGTATAGTTTTATGACCTTACGAAACTTTTTACTAACATTGCTTACACAGGGGAGTGAAATACAAATTACGTACATGCCAAACATGTGTGATAATCCGTTTTGTTTTGTGTCCAGCCAAGGTTTGGTGAAGGATGCGGTACCGATCAGGGAGATCACCGAAGCAGACGTCATAATTTACAGGATTTTTCAGTACGTTATAACGATAAAAGATCTAAGACGTCAAAAAATGATTAAACGTTAACATTTCTACTATACTATAATACATGTATATATTGACTTCATGTAGAATAACAGACCTGTGCAAAAGCTCTAAATAAAGGCTTGAAACGTTCGTCACCCATGCAAGCCATTTCGTCGTCGTAAACGCACAATTTTAAAATTTTTCCTTGTATTTTTTCGCTAACAAAACCTTCCAGCGTGCCGCTCGAAAACGACTAATATTTTCGTTGTAGTCTTTTGTACTTCCATTTTGTGTTTCATATTTCGATTAAGATTTTACACTAGTAAATTTGCATATACATGTTATTGATATTTATAATACAGTAGTAAATCCGGCATAATTTGTTGTGACATATACACACTTATAGGACACACACACACACGTAATACTGCATCTTGTCATCATTTTAGGATTCTATTGGACAAATCTTTGAAGAAGATCAAGACGGCGAAAAAGCTTGTAGCCCTACAGAAGAGCGTTACTGGACACCAGGACATCATTGTCAGCTACCAGATGGAGGGGAAGCCATTCGGTATAAACTAACAAAAACATTACCAAACCATGCTTTAATGTTGACCTATTGTTATTTCCTGTATTCGACAGAATGTTTGGTTTCAATCCTGTGATGTAATATCTTAAACTGAGACTATCATCAAATATGGGAAGAAAGAAAGGTATTCCAAGGTATTCTGTCATCGTGTCGTTTGGTCATGATCCGCATGGTGGCGTTGTATCCATGTGTAAATAGTACGAAAATGTTAGGAACAGCCATTGAGAGAAACTTAATTTAATTTAGAGAAGTTAGTCCAGGTCACAATACACCTAACACAACAGTAACTGCCATCAAAGCAAAGAAAATAGTTTAAATTTTCCGTTTTGTTTTGACATTCTGAATTGTATAAATTTTTTTGAAATTCCCTTAGTTTGTTCCAGAATCCTTCATCAAAAAATATTCCTTAAAACAAGTTAGACATATCTACAAACTTGAAAATGTTTACCATAAAAAAAATCAATATATAATTATTTGAAGGCCATCTATGACGTTTGATGCCAAGTCAAGAAACCCAATGTAAAATTCATGACAAATTGATGACGAACAGTTTACGATTTACATTCTTTTCAGAGCGCAGATTGTTTCTGGAATTTGCCATGGATCATCAAAAACAATTCATGTTCGTCGTGACAACGAAAGAAAAACTCCCCCGTATTCTTAGGTAGGGTCTATGTCTCTATATACTCGGATTTTCTGCTTAGGCCACACCAAGTAAATTTTATGGATGACGTCCTTTGGAGACCCTAAATCTAATGCGAGAGGGCGAAAAAAAACAAGAAGGGCCCTAAAAACAAGATGCCTAGATTAGAAATATACGACAGATGTTAGGACACAAATTGAATAAGATGACACAGCGTAACAAGCAAGAAGTCTTTTATTCATCATCAAAACAGCAATAAATCATGTGGAATAGCAGTTGTCGTCCTGTCCTGTTTTCGCGTTCCGGGTTTCACATCAATCTGACGATTTGTGGCACTGTCGTGACTCTTTGGTCATAGTAGTTCATAGAAGCGGAATTTCTTGGGTTTTTTTTCTAGGAACAGGCCAACATCAATTCGCGCGCGGACGTCATCCATAAAATTTACTTGGTGTGGCCTTATCCTAGATTAAAGAATTTTAGTATTATTTGCCATTTTTTCTGATCGGACACGTGTATATTTAATAACCCAGTTTATCATTGTGTAAATGTCTTGAAGAATAGTTTTAAGCGCACACGAATGATGTTTCCATTGTTACTGTGACATGTCCATTGCCTGTTGTCTTTAAGCGGTGGCAAACTTCCGAGCATACCGACAACCTGGTATCTACACTGCGCGGAGGAAAAAGAAGGCAGCGAAACGTGTCGGAGTACAGCCTATCGCGGTCTCCTGCGGTCAGATGGCCTCCTAAACTTTATACAGGCAGTCAAACTCCCTAACGTGGTACGTGTCTTTACTAGATAGATTAGATGTTCTTCTTTTTTTTTTTTAATTTTTATTGGTATTTCCAAATACAAAAACATGTACAGACAAGACATGAACAAAGCAAAAAGTAATAACGTAATGGTAACAGAGAAATAATCCACGGATCCAAAAATACAATCGAGATAAAACTTGAAATAATAGCAACCAAAGTCAATAATATATATATATATGTAAATCAACTAATTAAGCAACAACAGGAGAGACAATAGGAAGAAGTAAATAATGGCAACAAAACTCTATAATTGGAACGTAAATAACGTAGATGTTCTTCTTTGGTACCAGACTTTTAGGGCACGGTCACATTTCCAAGCTGGGGCCCGGCCGGGTTGTTTGCGTGAACGAAACATAAACAATTATATATAAATAGTGCTCATGGTTAATTTTCTTTTTGTGTGTGTGTGTTTTGCTGTCTTATAGCATGATTTTCGTTTCATGATCATACGACTGCCCCGCCAGGCCCCAGGTTGGAAAATGTGACCGCGCCTTCACCCGAATATGAATCATCTGAAATGTTTGTCATCACATAGTGAGATTGTATTTTATCTAAATGAAGTTTACTTCTCGTTTTTGCCCAGATGACATTTTCGGACCAAGACCTGACAACTTGCAGGACCCTGGGTCTACATGTTATTTACGTCTTCACCAACACGGAAATGACGTCTGAAGCCACGGAAGTGGCTACACGTTTAGGACAGGCTTTCCGGGGTGCTGCCGGCATCATGGTCACAAACCTGTCAGTATTTCATTTCAATTTCCTTTAACTTTTCCAATGATATAGAACATCGCGTGACAAAATAGCCAAACACATTCTTACATTAAAGAAACACATGTTGGTGACACATTGCGACGATAGAGAAACACAGTGACTTATAAAACATGTATTTACGGTGCTTTTGTTGTTAGGGGACTACTCTCGATATCTCTTTTGCTTTACTAGTGGTTCAGAACACCCGCACCAACTGTTCCTATTCACACCTTTACTGGCACTGTACGTATGATATTATTGTTGATTCCTTCCCCCTCCCTTTCTTTCTCCCTTCCTTCCTTTCTCCTCTCTTTCATTCTTTCCTTCTCTCCGTTACTTTGTCTCTAACATTCTCTTTCTGTCTGCAAGTGTCAATCCTTATCAACGTTAATTTATCACCCTAAGGTAATAATTGGCATAAAGAATATCGCGCCATGCTATAGGTGTTACTTGCTGCCGTATGTGGTTGTCTGCGTACGCAGTTCAAACCTGTTAGTTAGCATGTTTAGTGATAGCTGTTTCATACTTCAGTGACAGGATCTCGAAGTCGAGATTACA